AGCTGTGAGCCACGTTCTCGTAGCATCGAACCGGCGCCCGCCCGATCGTACCTTGATTGAGGTGTCGAAAAATAGCAGGGCAGGTACCGCAATCGAGGCTGAAGCTTATAGCCAGATATCGAATCATTGTGACCAAGCGATCATGACGACCGAAACTTCTTTGATTGAATTCTAGCGTTGAAGCGGGAGCGGAAAAAGCTCGGGCGGGGGACTGAGAATGATGCAGAGGCTTGAAGGTGCAGGCTGCAGCTACGGACGCCTAAGACGAGTTATCCTAACTCTCATAAGAATCTTGCTACCTATTGGCTCGCAGATTTGATTTCAGCCCAGTCAACCGTCGATTGTGTGTGTCACTCGTGTCTGCACAGCTGCAGTCATAGTTGACGTTTGACGCCATGCAAAGGCTCTTGATCGAATCTTGATGCGTACAGTCAGGTAGGTCGACGGCGGCCAAACCGAGGGAAGAGATGGACGGCCACTAGGAGTTCCTAGACCTAACTCAACGGATACGCGCAACGGAAGCGAACCCGGCGACCGTCGCACTGTCCTGACGCAGGGACCGCAAAACTGGAACTCGATATGGAGGGCCCCGTCTGCGACGGTCAAGCTTTTTTCTTCTAAGGCCGCAAGGCCAACAATACGGAGAAGAGCGTGAGCCAATGGCCGGGGAAGTCTCCACTGGACGGGAACTATGTACACCTTGGATTTCCCAAACTGGAAGACGAAGACGGTGGGGCCGTTTCTTCCATCACCATGAGCTTTTTTTTTTTGTCCCTCCGTCTTTTCCCCCCCTCGAGGGTACGGCCATTTCACTTCTCCACTTTGCCAAGGAAGCTTCGCCACCACAAGAGGGGACCTTCAATTCGCAACTCACCGCGATGGAAGGAGGAAAAAAAGAATGGAGAAACGGCCAATTTAGTTCTTCATTTTCAGAGTTATTGGCCTAGGTCATGACGGCGAGTCATCCAGATCATGGTGGGATAATCGTCGCATGGCTTTGTCAGCCCTGACCGTCTCGCGCTGTCTTTCTACTTCACGGCGGATGGAGAGGCAAGCAATACTGATCGAAAAATACCCGTCGTATAATATGTACGCCGTACTATCTATGCGTTGTGTTACGGATGCTTTAGTGGCTGTGATGCTGAATTCGTTGCGAGATTGGCGTATGAGTGTGAAATGTGAAATGCAGGGGGCAGATGTGGGTTCTTGGCACCGCCATGAATCAGAGGGAAACGAATTCGTGATGGGCAGCCGAGGGGACTCACGGCCAACAGGAGACGTGACGAACACTGGTGGAACGTGATAATAAACAGACTGAGCCATTCGGTCCACGGGAAACATTGGATGGCGGGCGGCATGTGGGAATGGCGGCGGCAGGCAGATCCATGCCGTCCGATTGAGACCTGCGTCCTCCGAAGAAATGCTGCCGGATGCGCGTCTGAGAAACGTCGTCGTTGAGCCTGGAGGCAAAAACTGCCGGCCGACAGGCGCTACGCCTCTCGCAGCCGCACGCGGCATCTTGATGGCCCAAACTGGAAGCTGCCGTGAAGGCAGCAAGAACTGGGAAGTGATGGTGTACCTAATACGCTGTACGGAGCTCTTAGGCGTGGCTTTCAAGGACTCGCTGACTGTGCAGCGGCTGACAGCCACACGAGTATCCGTAACAAGCAGCGGCTTGAGCTTGAGCTTCAGATCCAGACATTGAATGCCAGGCGTGCCAACTTGGATTATTAAAGGGACTCCGCCAAGGCCCAGTGTGATGTCGGCGATGATGGCCGGAAAAGTGCTGGCGAGATTGGCACGAAATGAACAAAATATGGCGCCTGGCTCGCCTCGTCTCGCCTCACACGCCAAGGCCCGAATATACCAGCGCCTGCTTGCAAGTTGCGGGCACCGCACCGTGACTTGCCGCACGGCTCCAGACGGGAAGTAAGCCTGGAAACAGCAGGATCGTCGTCGCGCCGCCCGTTTGTCGTATCGGCATTCGTACGGTACTCGTGGGTACGAAGCAACACTGCTGCCAATACACGTCCGGTGCCCTGCACGTAGACCGGGCCTGGCCATCAGAGACTCAGGGCTTCGAGTGAGGTCTCCAGGACACACAGACGGGGACTCTCGGGGGCTTGCAACTGTTGCCTGTAAAGCCTTTCAGGGGCACAAAGCATCGGTGAGCAAGGCCTGAGAATTACAAGTTAGCTGATGCGCATCAGATCACTGTTGGTCGGTCGATGAGTCGTGAGTTTCTGAGGCACGGATGGGTAGGTACCTTTAGGTATGCACACGCACATCCGTCCACAAAGTGACACACTAGAACAGGAGGGAGTGAGAGGGAGCAATACCTAGACTCACTGAACAAGAATTGAAGGCATCGGAGTGCAGAGTAACCCGACGCTGGCTGGCAAGCTGCAACTCCGTACCTTACATTGCAGCGTCTTGGATTCTTGGCAGTGGAATGAGTCGACAGCGAATCAATCTCGATCAAGGGCCGAGGGAAAGGTGGAGCAGGATATCAATGCTGTCAACGGCCTGGGCCAGGAGAGACCCGTCTGTGGTATCGTGTGGTCCAATCATCGGCAAAGCTGCTATTTTCTGCGTCTCTTCGCCCCCGTGGAGGTGCATCTGGACGAATGTGCCTGTGCCAGAAACAAGAAACTCGAATCCAGGGAATCAAGCGATCAACTTGGGCGCCTCCACGTGTCGATGGCGGTCGGGCTCAGCCCAGTGGGCAGATGGATGGAGCGAGTGGAGGAACTGCGATGCAAGTAAGCTCGACGGCCGCCAGCGTGCTCGTGCGTGCCCAATTCTTTCTGCCTGGAGATCAGGAAGCAATATTGTTGTCAGCGCGCAATTAAAACAGAAGGTAAATGCGTGGTGATGATGGCCAGAGTGTACGAGGATCCCGTTTGGGAGTTGATGGCAATGCAGCAGTCAAGAAATCAACCCCCAAGGCAATTCGTAAGTGCAGGCAGTCACGCAGTGAGAGTCGTCACTCACCCAATTGCTGTAAAGGCAACTGTGCAAAAAGAAGAAGAAGGAGCAGTCCTGATGAAGTGGAGCCGCATGGCCCCTGTTTCAGCTCCGCCCCCCTGCTCCTTCCACCGGTTCTCACTGGCTTCCCACCTGGGTCCGAAATGTGGGTTCCTTCCCCGGGGCTGGCCGCTCCAAGTGCCCCACACCCTTGTCTTTCGCTCCTTCCCTTGGCTTGACATTTTTTTTTTGTAGACTGGGGCAGGAACAGGAGGAAACACGCGCCTTCCATTGGGTGAAGCGAGGCAGGCATTGGCCGTTTGACGATCCGGCAGCGGGAAAGGTGTGAAGGTCTGGACTGAAAAGGAAAGGCGCCAAGGGGTGCATCTGTGGCCTGCAGGAGCGAATGTTCTTTCTCAGAGGAAGGAGTGACCTATTGGGCCAAGGAGTGGTAGTGCTTTGGAAGCAGGAGCGAGAAAAGACGGTAAAAAACAAATAACATGGTCATGGAAAATAATAGTAAAAAAAAATATCGGTGGCCGCAGACGCGACGGTGACATTTCTCTCCTCTTGGCTGCTGTTCGCCTCGTACTTACTTAATAAAACATCTCCTATTCGTATTTCTTCCTCCTATACTCACTTCCTCCTTCTAACTCTTTTCCTTCCTCTGAAAACCGCCCTCCTGTCACTACTATCCGCCATACTTATTCATCTTTTCTTTTCGTCCGACACTCGCCTTTCACTAATTCAACCCCCTGATCACTAAATTCCTACTTCTAAGTACCTTATTATTGAAGAAAGTTAATTCTTTCTAAGTTATAAGTATAAAAATATAGTTTTAATAAAATAATATAATACTTACTTAGTATTTAAATTAAAATACTTTTTTAAGCTTATTATAAAAAAAAGATAACTATATTACTAATTACTTATTATCGAGGTCTATAAGTAGCGCTATAGTTTTAATTACTATAGCTTTAACTATAATAGCTTTACTTATAATAAGTAAAAAGTTTAATTATAAGTCTTTTAAAAACCTCTTATTAAAAACTATAAGAGCTTCTAAATATATTAAGTTAAAATACTTACTAAAATATTAATAATTAAACTAACCCTATAATAACGATCTTAATAAAAAACTTAAAAAAAAACGCTAAAATCCTTATTATTATTAAATACGATTTACGAAGCGTAGTAATATAGCCGTAAAGTATTATTAATATATCCTATATTAAAAAAGGTATTATTAATATTAATAAAATAGATAGGGCCGTATTAATATAGTACTTTAGCTTCTTTTTATAGCTCGAGGATAATTATTTTAAATAATATTAAAAGTTTATTAAAAAGCTTTTTTAAATACTTTAGTATATTTATTATTATTTTTATAATAATAAGACTTTTAGTATTTATATATAAAAATAAGTTATTTATTTTTAAATAATAATACTAGCTTATTAATAAGTTATTAAAACTATAATTTTAGTAATCCCTTAATAAGGGAGAGGGTAAAATAAAAAAAAGAATAGGTAAAAAAAGGGTTAAGGTTAAATAGTGCGGAATTCGAGGGTAGGGTAGCGTCTATATGTACTGCGGTAATCCTCTAGTAATGCAAAACGATGGAGTTAAACAGTGCAAATTCCTACTTCACAGTAGCCGTACCTGTGCTTACCACACCATCTCACCTCCTGGCCCTGGTCAACGTCCACACCATCAGCGCCCTTTTCGAGTTTAACTCCCGTCTAATATCCCAACCTCACACAAGGTCCCCCCTCCTTCTCTCACCATCTTCCCGACCAATTTCGTTACCCCTTCCAGCGCTACCGCTTCATATACCAAACACTCCCGCGCCAAAAGCTGCCTTACCGTCCTTACGTAGTACGGTCCTTACTCTTTTCGACCGACCATCCCTCACTCCCGCCGCCATCGCTGCCGATTGACGGACAGGGTCTGTCTATAATTGACAAGTTAGGAGCATATCAATAAGCTCCTTCTTCCCTTCCCGCTCCCCTTCTTCCCTCCCTCTCCCGGATATGCCACACCTCAACACCTCGGCCTACGAAGTTCCAACAATCAATATACCAACGAACGACTCCGGAGTCACGCCTCACATCATGGCTGAAGAAGGCGGCCACGCGCCTACGGGCGGTAACAACCACAACCCTGCGAGCGACAACCAGCACCACCAGGATTTCACCATCAAGCCGCGCATGACCGACTTCAACTCAGAAGAGCTGCGCGATACCATGTCCCCTACGGGCCCCATGACCCCGAACCCGTTTAGCAGAAAGAACACCAGCATTGACATTGACGACTACTTCACCGGTCCTCGCGACATTCTCAAGCACTCCAAATGGCCTTTGTTCATGCAAATGCACGGCAGCATTCTGCCCAAGATGATTGTTCCCCTGATCTGGATGTCTCTGTGGGCTGCCGCTATCACCGTCATCGACAAGTACCGTACGACTATGGGTGTCGACTCTGTCTTGCTTACCGTCCTGGGTTTCGTCGTCGGTTTGGGTCTTTCTTTCCGCAGTTCTACCGCCTACGAGCGCTACGCCGAGGGTCGTCGTTACTGGGCCCAGCTCATTCTTGCGACACAGAGTCTCGGCCGCGTCTTCTGGATCCATGGTGGTGACAATGAGGGTATCGATCCTAGACAATCGCTGCTCCGCAAGGTTGGCTGCATGAACCTGCTCCTCGCCTTTTCCGTCTCCCTGAAGCACAAACTTCGCTTCGAACCCTACACCCAGTACGAGGACCTCGAGCATCTCGTCTCCCACATGACGACCTTTGCGCAAGAAGCCACGTCTGCCGAGCCCGAGAAAATGACTCTGAAGAAGAAGAACTTCTTCAAGGAGACTGGCGAGTACCTCGGTGTTTCTTTCGCCGCCAGCAACCCTCGTAAGACCATCAAGAAGGCCTCCCGACCTCTCGGCAACCTGCCCCTCGAGATTCTCTCCCATATCTCTTGCCTCGTTGACAAGATGGTCGAGGATGGCCAGCTCAAGGTCCCTATGCAGCAGACTCTCGCCTACAACAACGTTGCCCTCCTGAACGACATCATGACCGGAACCGAGCGTGTCTTGACCACGCCTCTCCCCATTGCGTATGCCATCGCCATCAGCCAGATCACCTGGGTCTACGTTATGCTGCTTCCCTTCCAGCTGATTGACAAGCTCGGCTGGATCACCATTCCCGCCACCGTCGCTGCTTCCTACATCATTCTCGGTATCCTCTTTATCGGTCGCGAGATTGAGAACCCCTTCGGCGAGGACGTCAACGATTTGCCTCTTGAGGTCTACTGCGAACAGGTTGCCTCTGAACTGGACATTATCGCCTCATTCGAGAAGCGCGACCCCTACCGCTTCATGGAGTCTTCCCAGAACCTGCCCCTGTTCCCCGCTAGCATGGCTCCCTACCACATCTGGATGGGCCGTTCCGAGAACCGCGTCCGTGAGGCGATCAAGTCCAAGCACAACACCGTCTTTGAGTTCCGTAAGAAGGTCATTCTCGAAAAGGTGGCGTCAAGGGCCGGCAACACCGCAACAGAGAAGAAGCCTAGCAGCGAAGGCACTACTACTATTAACGGCGATCACAATGTCTAAACAGACCGCCTGTGCTTTCGCTTTGCTTCGAGTCTTTTCTTCATCTCTCTTCCTCCCCTCTATTTGCATCAGAAAGGGTTTGGGCGAGAGGGGTTTCAGCGATTTGCGTCAAGGAGCATTTACGGTACGGAAAAACAAAAGATTCTTTCATACATGGCCCCGACAGGTGGCTTTTTGCGGCATAGGAACGGTTTCGGATCTTTCTTTTCACTGTAATTACCTGACTCCTGGATGGCATAAAAGGACAGGTGTGGTTTTGAGCGCGGCATTTCCTCTCATGGCATTGAGACGACAACAGAAACAACATACCAAAATTGAATGCAAAACATTTCAAAAAGGACTTTCTTCAGAGTGCCGAGTGAACTATATTGAGCAATATGCAATCGTGTCTTGATCTCGCTGCTGACTCTCATACTCGGAATAGGCATTGTTCCTCCACCTTGACGACAAAATCACATCCTCGATCTCGGCCTGGGCACTATCGAACAACGGCGCGGGCCGCCCTCCGTAAAGTGGGTGTGCGAGTGGGTTTCCTCGGACCTCGATTGACTAGGGTCTGAGGCAGAACGTCAGACCAAGCGGAAACCAAATCAAACGTATAGTATATGCGCACGACTTTTACTTATAGGTTACCTTGGATCGAAACAAGGGGCCATTTCCTCACCTACGAGAACCACGACGTCGACTCATGGGCCATTCTAGACTTTTGCGCAATGCTCGATCTTGCGACTTTGCTTCCGCCCGGGGGCCCGGCGAATGGTAGTCGACCCAGGCTCGGGGCATCGGTCATGTTCATACCCCGGTCTTGCAACCTCTCGGAGATTTTCCCGGTATGGATATCATACTTGCCTCCGGCAAGCCGAGCCGGCCGCCCGTCGATGTAGCGCCCGGCTCCGCGTTGTTTAGTTTGGGACCGGAAGGTGGATTTTGACGCCAATGGAGGGGAACGCCACGTAAACGCCACGAGAATCAGTGTCTTGGGACGGACCCGCCGGTGTAACCGAGATTTTTACATCATATCTGTCCACCTGCTCAAGCAGCCATGCCTGCCATGGTAGGGCTTTCATCTGACAAGGCGTGACAGGTCGATCTGGTCGATTCCGAGTCTTCGGACCAGATTTCCGGGTTCCTATCGATCGCCCCCAAGGGTCGCTTTCTCCACTTGGCTGAAGACACCGTCGCGCCTCACTACGTATGTGCCTTGTGTGCGTACTTTGGTGTGCGACAGGATCCACGGAAGAAATGGACTGAACGACTCATTCCCTACGACTCAATTGTTATCCTGAGGAAAGTTGCAACGATTGGTAGCACCGGGGAGGTTCATGTTCGTCGCACGCTGAATTCGGAGCTGGTTCGTGCATGGACTCTGTTATCGGCCGATATTTCTACACGGCGCCTTGTAGCGGGCGAGACATACCGCTGAGAAACAGAACATGTTCAAGTGCTGAAAGAAGCTCAGGACGTTTTGACGAAATGCTAACAAGTTACCGGCTCCCATTCCGAATTCGGTGGTTCGAATGCGGCCATGGGAATGGGTACATGTTTCAGGAGAGGCGAAAGTTCTTCTACGATGAAGATGAATTTGATACAGGAGCAAAAGATGGACTGGCGTGACTGAGTGTTTACTTTTATCGAACCCAGGTGGGAAGAAGATCCAGCCACGAGTGGGCGCACTCTAAGCGTGGATTGATTCGCCGGATCCGGAGCGGCCATCGTGCAGCCGGGGACGCGGCGTCTGAGACATTCTCTTTCCGAACGCATGCCGGGAATGGACTGAGGCTCGTGTAAGCGCCGAAGTTTAAGCCCGTGGCGTTCTTTTGCGCGTATATGTGGTAAAGGCCTTCCCTTTTTCACCTTGGACGGCCCTACCTGTCTTTTCTGGTTCTGCTCTTCTCTTCGTTTTTCTCAATTCCTTGTTCTTGTCTTGAACTCTCTTGCTTTTGTTCGACTACATGCTGTCATCATTCACAGTCGTGTCTGAAAAGGGTAATATCAGTTGAGGGCTTCAGGTCCCCTAGCTTCCAAGCAGCTCGGAGGGGCTGCGAAGCCAACCTCGCACTCGCTTGGAGAGAAACGAACCGAAACACGACTGGGACTCCCGTCGCCCAAAAGGACGGAACCCAGATCCCCGATGCGCGTCTCGAAATAAAGATTGAAAACAACCAGGGCATCGAGATTACTCAATGTTGATCTGGCCTGGGCTAGAAAAGGAAGACATGGACGTGTCTTCCAATGAGACCACCGAGGGAGGCTTCGGCTCGACGCAGATGCAGGCGCTCTCTCACGAGAGCCTCGCTCACATGATGCTCGGCGTTATCATCGCGGTGCTCGTCGTCACGACTGTTTTTGTCGGGCTGCGGATCTACGTGAGGGCGCGGGTTATTAAGAAGTGGGGTGCCGACGATACGATGGTGACGCTTTCGTTTGCTACGGTGGCTTTCCATGGAATCATGCTATGTTTGGGTAAGTTTGTGATATTGAACTTATTGGATTTAACCGCGAAGGAGTAGGTGTTCAGATGGAGAGGACAATCATGGAAGGACACTGTGTGGGCTGACGTGGGTGAGAGGGACACAGGTACCAGATTCGGACTTGGAAAGCATGTCTGGATGACGCAGGCACAAACAATTGAGAAAGCTCAAAAGGTAAGCTTTTCCAAACATGGTAATTCCATCCTTGCCTCGGATGCTAATTGTACATGCCTAAAAACAGCTCGCAATGTTCATAATGATGATCTACAGCATCGCCTTTGTCACCATCAAGATCGCCTTCCTCCTCCAATACCGCCGAAGCTTCCCTCTTCTCATGGTCGAGATGCTGTGCAATGCGGGCATCGCGTTTCTCGTTCTGTTTGGAGTATCCTTGATGGTATCGGCGGGCATCACGTACAGCTTGGTCCTCAAGCGCGAGATGACGGATTCGCCCGTCAGTGTGTTGGGATGGTGGCTTGCCAATGCGTCAATACACCTGCTTACGAACATCTTCATCTTCGTTCTGCCGTTACCGTTGCTCGGAAGGCTAAGACTTCGGCGAGTGGAGAAGCTGGCTCTCGTCATCAGCTTTACCTTGGGGCTACTGTGAGTTAAAACCCTTTGTTCCTTCATGAGAAGCTTTGGTAATAATGCGGATTTGTTTCCGCCCAGAACATGCGCAGTATCCGTCATGCGGATCGCATATCTCCCAGGGTCTTTTGACATGGTCGACATGACGTACGATGGGATATCCATCATCCTCTGGTCCGTCGTAGAACTCTCTTGCGCAGTCATCTGCTGCTGTATCCCCACCCTCCGACCGCTCGTTGAACAAAAACAACGAGGCCTCACCGACGACTACGACGACGCCACCATCTTTGGCGGAGGCATGTTCAGAGAGGACATGACTTTCGGCGAGGGCCCGCAACGCGTTCTCCCAGGTATAAACGGGGTCAACAACGAGAGGATATCGTCGTCCATCAGCTGCGCCTCGGAAACGGGCATGAGGAAACCCGGTCCGACCTTTTTCTGGCTACGCACGCGGAAGCAGAGCGACCACTCGAGCATCAATGGTCTCGACGACATTGAGCCCGTGCCCATGCCTCTGCACGCGGGGCCCATGATGGCGGCGGCCGCTGCCGCGATGCCGGTGGTGGAGGTTCACGGGGTCCGGCGGGAGAGCGAGCACGGCATCATCGTTGTTGAGAGTGAGCGCGTCGAAGGGGGTGTGGAACGTGAGCGTGGGATCCCTCGACGGGCGAGCGTGAGGAGTAGTTTGCGGAGTGATAGCAGTCTCGGCGTGGCGCTGCGTAGGGATCTGAGTGTGAGGAGGCATATGAGCATAGCGTTAACGGAACGGGATTCGGATGATGATGTGTACTATTTTGGCGTTAATGAGGAGGACGTGGACTTGGAATGCCCGACGCCGCTGAGTCCGCCGCCAAAATGTCGGAAGTCGACTAGCTCTTGATGGGTCGAAGGAGGTCTGTGTAGACTTTGTAAAACATACTGTACAGCATTTGGGTGGTATGATTTTCGATTCTTTCATGGCGATTTGGAGTTTTGCATTCACGTGGCGGGATCCAAGGGGATAAGTTAATGATGAAGAACATTTTGGATCTACATGCATTTAAAACCCGCTCAGTATCAGTCTATTCGCAGACCAGCATCCTTCAACAGAGGTAAAATCTTCTCGCCAAAGTACTCCAGATCTGGTGCAAAATTATAAAAGTTGATCTGGACACCATCAATGCCAACCTTGTGTAGCGCATCCAGCTGCTCAACGACTTGCTCCGGCGACCCAATAATCTCAATATTCCCTCCCAGATTCAACCCCTTATTCTCCTTGGCATCCTTTCTACCCCGCCAAGCATGAGCATCACTATCATACGCCCCGTTCGCCGTTCCAAACTTCTTGGTGCCCGCCTGGATCTTGGCTCCCTCGGCGATGCTCTCAGCGTACGCCCATGCCTCCTCAGGCGTGTCTTTCGATACAATGATCGGGTTGATGATGATCTTGACTCCGCTGCGGCCCTGGGCTTCTACAGCAGCCCTGATGTTGGCAATATGGGCCGGCAGGGTCTCGAGCGCGCTGTCAATGTGCGCCGTCCCCGGCGAGGTAATGAAGATTAGGTCAGAGTACCGGGCGGCGAATTCGATGCCTGCGGGCGAACCCGTCGCGTTGACGAGGATCGGGCGGCCAAACTGTGGCTTCGGCGTGATCCACGCATTCTCGACGCGCCACGGCGAGACTTTACCCTCGTACGAGATGTTCTCCGTCTCATTCCAGAGACTATTCACCACGTCAAACAGCTCGCCAGCCATCCGGTACCGCTGATCATGCTCAATGCGCTGCCGGCCAAACATCTCGTGCTCCACGGCCCGATGACCCGTAACTACATTGATACCCCAACGGCCCTTGGCGATGTGATCCAGCGTAGCGCCGTACTTGGCAATATGTAAGGGATGAAGCGGCCCGTAGAGGACATGCATGGTGGAGATGAGCAGGATAGATTCCGTCACGGCCGCCATGGCACCCAGGGCGACGAAGGCGTCGAGCGAAGCCTCACCGTCGTAGCCGCCTTTGGGGAGCCACTGGGTGCGGCTGAAGGCGAGTTCGAAGCCGAGCTGTTCGGCGCGGCGGACGAGGGCGACGTTGTAGTCGAAGGTCCAGGTGTTTGTTGTTGGGTGGGTGGAGAAGTTGATGTCTTGGAGGTTGAGGAAGAGGCCTAGTAGAAGAGGTTGGCGGGAGGCTTTGCGGAGGGGGCTGTCTTGAAAGTCGAGGGGGCCTTTGAGTTCTGGGCCGCCTTCGCGGACTGAGGTTGCAGACATGGTGGCAGAACAATTGCAGGCTTCAAATTGAGTGATGATATGTAGTGAAGCAGGAACGTCTTGTTCTCATGTTGAGGTTATGTGATGAGAATGAGAGCTGAGGCGTCTTGATATACGTGCTGTTTCCTCATTGGCATTTGGCATCATGCGAGTTGGTTATGTAAGTTGGAGATGACGCGCAAGTGAGGAGCAATGTCGAGATCGCATCTTGCGCCGGTTCATGTGCATGATAATTGCCGACCATCTCCGCCATCGGCCAACTTTGAGCACGCCATCGAGTGTTATCTCAATCCTCCACTACTTGCAACGGCGTATGAGGTGCGTGATTACTACTGTCTACATGTACTAGCATGTAACTTCCGATTGATAGGATGTTGGTGCCAAACTTCGGATAATCAACTGACGTTTAGACTTCATTAACAATTCGAGGTTTAGATTCTAGAGCTTCAATCTAGCTGCCTCAGACTTGACAATGGTCGGCACTTCATCTTCCAGACTCTTCTCCTGAGGCTTCCATCCGAGAACCTTCTTCGCACGCAAGGCAGAAGCCCGAGAGTTCAAACCCCAACTAGCTGCCTCGAAGCCAGCAGATGACTTGACGGCCTCGTCATAAGACAACTCCCGTACCTCGGGCTCTTGCTTAATGAAGCCCTGCTCATGTGCTGTCTTCCCAACCAGCGTCGACAAGTCACCCCAAACATGCTCGCCATTCTCCGTGAGGAAGTATCCCTTGGCACCCCAAATCTCCTTGTCGTCCTTTCGAGATTGGTCGAGCGCGGCCTCAACTAGCAACTCAAACACCACGCTGAGGTCATGAACGTGAACGTTGTTCCACCGGGTAAGTCCCTTTCCAATACGAGGACTGTAGCCCTCCTTCAGCACAAAAGTAGCCAATTCGTACACCTGACGGCCTCTTCCCGACACGGGGCCACGTCCTTGGCCATAAATTGTGGGAGGGCAAATAATGGCAGTCTTGACGGAATCGGTGTGCTTGTTGCCGGTCTCGAGGACGATCTCGTCCACATTGCGGTGGAATGCGGCAGCTGGCAAATTGACGAGCTCGTCAACGCCATCGTAATCGTTGAAGACCTTGTCGTCGTGCTCGCCAAACGTCTTCTTCACTTCCGAGTCGAAGTAGGTCAGGATACCGGTGCCGCCTGTGTGCAGCCAGAACCCTGGCCGGGATGGCGAGTGGCCTGATACGAGTCCCTTTGCAATAGCCTTGGCTGCACCTGCGTGGTCTGAAGAGTCGGCGGTATCTGAGCGAGGTGAGATGTATGTCAGTGAGGGGGTCTAACTCGTGTTTGAGATATAGACAACTTACGAAGTACGACATCAGCCCATGCTGCCTCGCGCTCCAGGGTTTCCGAATCATCGAGTCCCCCAATGACAATCCTGGCTTTCGGGTACTTCTCGAGCACCTTGTCTGCCTTTTCCTGTGTTCGGATGAGAAGCGCGTATTCGAACTCCGGGTGCTTCTGGTAAAGCTGGTAAAGGGCGTCGCCGCCGATGTAGCCCGTAGCTCCTGTGATGAAGATCTTGGCAGTCATTGTAACGCTTTGTATCGTGTACCGTGAAGATGAAGAAGCTGAATTGAACTTTGGGCTCGCCTTATAAATGGCGAAAAGTGATGTTATCACTGGCGTGATTTACGTGTGACTTACGTAGCTAACTGTTGCTTTCTTCTATGACGTCGGCGTGGATTTCTAATCGTGAGTAAACCGCCCCCGGAAATATGTTTAGCCATCGAGGGGCACGGGAAGTGATTTCCGTCTTGCCTCTCCCCACCGGTTTGCGAGCAATCATTGGCTTCTGTCATGTTGAGAACGACCTCTAATGTTTCTAGATGTATCGCTAGTTGAAATAAGCTTATTTTCCTGATGGCATGAAGATTATCTGCTTTTGCTAGGAGAGCCGTGCGATCGAGTTGAGGCTGCCCACGTAGGCGGGGTATCCCAAAATGCCCCTCACTTCTCATCCTCACACGGTCCCACCTTCGTCAAAATCTGAGATGGCCCCTCTGAGCATACCAGAGGGAGACTACAAAAAGACATTCTGGCCATTTCTATCTCTGGCTGTGCAGATGCAATACTCAAATGCGGCACATCTGCTCGTTCATGAAGAATACATCCATGTGTGGCTGTAAACTTTCACAGTCTCCCGATTGGCAGATTCCAGCGCCGCAAAAGTCTTCATATCTGCCACAGCGGCCATAGATACTGCAACAAGTTCCTTGCTTGCCAGCACACTTGCGATTCCCGTTTGCATATCCACAGGTCCCATCGGTGGTGTACACCTTGTGGCCCCAGCAAATACCCTCCCAGCAAGTGCCGGGAGCACAATCTATGCTGAAGCACGGTGTAAAGGGTCAGCATCTGCGAGTTCCGATGATAGACAGCCATCAATAGCAGGAAAGGGTCGGGACTTTATCACTTACTCTCTCTGACCACATCGCCAAGTCTCGGAGTTGCAGCATTGCCCGTCAGTCCCGACACAGGTGACCCCCGGGCGCGACGGACCACAGATGCCATCCCACGCCCTTTTCGGTTCAACAACTAAAGCAGGTAGAAAGATAAGTTTGATTACAGTCAAAACTCGTGCATTGGGGTCAAGTACATCCACGAGTGCAGTATGAGGCGCAAGGAAGTATGTTCCCGCAGTCTCGGTCCAGAGAAGGGTTGAGGAGGAAGAACTTGTCTAGGGTAATCCCGTAACGAGTTGCGAGCTCTTGACAGGTCTCCGGGCCCACGTTCTCATTGGTGTCGCTAGTATAGCGACAGTTGATCTCTCCGGGCTTTGTATCGGCACCTCTGATCCCATGAATGGTTGTGTGAGTTGTGCATGCGCGTGGTCGTGAGATCGTGGCCGCGGGCCGGCCGGGGGTTGTGGAATCTTCCCAAGTCACCGGCTTGCATTTTCCAGTGCTAGCGAGGCCAGATGATAGCGGAGTGATGCAGTCCACCGTTCTGGCAAAGAGAAGGATCGCAAGACTTGCAATCCCGCCGTTTTCGAAAACACTACCAGGCTTAGGATACATTACGACTCCGCTTCGGGGTGAGAGTTGATGCAGGGAAAATGAAAGCAAGTATCCGTGTGCTTGGCGAGCGTTTTAGTGATACTTGTGCGCTTATGCCTGAGGAGATTTTGAAAACGCAAACTCCGCCAAGTGGCTAGATCGCGAGAGCACAAGACTGTTCAAAAGAACTAAAGAAAGTGAGGTAGTCTAGGGAACTTTTGTTAGTCGCCATGACAACATTAGGCAGCAGCCTCCCGCTAAAAGTAATACGATGGTGGCTGATACGGGAAAGCAGCGAGCATCAATAAGAGCTCTGTCGCATGCTAACTCCAGTCTCTATCTCAGTAGTCCATGGGCGATAACAAGCTGAGATTGAAGTGGTCTGTGGCGGCTCGCTTTTCGGTCGTACTTGTCGCCATGTCGTCGATACCCTCAGCGCCTCGCAAGAACCGCCTCCTAATTGGGAATGAGCCCTTGAACATGTTTCACGCATCACTTTAGAGGGTGAACAAATGATTTTGTTTCTCGATGACCGTGTAATTATTTGCAGTGGTATTTGTATTCTTTACGAGTCATTTAGGCTGGAGAGCAATGGCGGGGCCGCTCCATATTAGCTGCCGAAACCCGACACCGAAACCGAAGGGGAATCGCTCGCATCATTCAAGATACGCGAATTCGAAATCCTGGTCAACTCAACCCCATCGATTTCTGCCAGAACGGAGAGAATTGAATCTCTTGCCGGACGAGGATGGTTGAGTCAGAACTGCTGCATGAAGTAAAAATCGACGTGAAATCGTTGCTTAATGCGGCGTAGATAGCTCGTAGTCAGAGGAGCAGCTGGAACCTGCCGTGATGGGCTTCAGTTAAGCTAGACACCTGCCGACATCACCTGGAACGTATTAGACAATCGAAACACCTGGCGAAAAAAATACTAAGTAGTAATTTGCGCACCCGAATTTGGTAGGCAAATCGAAACCAACGCAGCACTTGTCCAGAAATGAGAATAACTCGCCGGAACGGCACCTCAGTTCACCATGACAAGGGGCAATGAAACACCTGCTAGGGTCAATGCCTGGCGGACACTGACGCCAAGTAAAAACACTATAAATATACGCTGGTAGATTTCGGTCTCTTCCGGTGCAGTACAACTGCCACGGGGATCCAGCATTGGTTACATCAGAAATCAACAATTGGCGGAGTTGACTTGTGTACTAATGAAAAATCATCTTTAGCTCGGCTGGAGTGTAAAACGAACCACTCCGTCGAATGAAATGACACTTGTCGCGGTGAAAGCTTGATTATAGTACACTATATCCGGCGAATCCGGGAATATCTCCAACCCAGCACTGATAGATTGGCATGGCTATCAGCGTTGGCCTGACTAGATTCTTTCCATAAGACATGACTAGTACCCCTGTGATGTCAAAGGTCTTCCAAACGTAGTGAAAATACCTCGCATGCATTCAGCAAGTAGGTAGCATACCACTGTGTTTTATCATGTTCCAGTGCCATCCTTTACTCCTCATCTGCAAAGAAGGACTCAAAATAGGATCGTTCAATCATGGCGACCGATTTCTATCATCAAGCACCATTCCGACATTCAGAAAGTATCCAAGTTGACTCCATGCCCCTGACGGAAGGGCGATCGTCATTGAGCCTCGGTCTTGCCGCTTTACCTACCTTAAATGACGACGGGTCTTACCTCGAACTTAGTTCTGCCTTTTCATATCTGTCAATTTTGAGAAATGGCCTATGGAGCGGTGTCACATGAAGTATATCTGGCGGCTTTCTTCAGTGATTTATAAGACATGAGAGAATATAAGTGTTCGTTGTATCTCGTTATATCTCATGGAAGATATTTTATCAGACTAAACGCCTCTCACTGTGCCTCAACCACTTGCCTTAGACTTTTGCATCACCAGCCTGAATCTTTAGACTCCTGCCTAGGCAACTGGTCTCTTTCAATCATGTTGCTTGGTTACTTCATTTTTACCCTACTATCTATCGTTCTTAACGTCACCAGCGTCTATGCCACTCCCGGCCACAATGGAGACATAGCAAAAGACGTATCCTTACACAAGCGAGATGCCGAAAAGCTGCAAGCAAGGCTGGTATGCTATCACAAACAATCTTATCACGTAGCTATCGTGATCGACCGCGACGAATATGACGTATCCTATCGCTATCACGCGACCCAAAAGGGCCAAACCCGAACTTTCAAGCTCGACCGCGATCGCCGTGAGTCAGGCAGCTACGTCGATTCTCTGATTCCGAAACTTGTCGCCAATATTCCCATCAACGGGTACGTCGACACCTTCGACGAAGTCGACGAGCTTATCAATGACACGGATCTCCTCCCCTCAAACGGATACGACTGCTGGCAATACCTCAAGAACGCGCTGAATGCAATGCGACAGAGCGGCTGGCTGACGCAGTCCGAGATGGACTCTGCCTATGACGAACTTCTGCAGAAGGCTCAGGATAATGGTATGACCTTGACTTGTCAGGCTCTTTGAGCTGGGGGATGGCGACCATTCGAATTTGCTCTCATCAATATGCGCGAAAACTTGGGCTATAGGTAACATTCAGATTACTCGGCTTAGAAGATGTACTAGAATACATCCTATCTGTATATGAAAAGAACTCAGAAGAGTATCAATAACTTGAAGAGAAGGGGTTGGTAGCAAACCGTATCAAGATCCGGAATGTGACACTTTTGGAAGTTCGTGGGATGCAACAAAATCCATCAAGCGTTGAATAACATTTACCAATCATTTTGAAACATGGCCTTTGAGTACTAAGGCATCATGTCTTGACCTGACTACTTGGATACATATCCTGTCATGTTCTCAAGTTGAACATAATGAAAAACCGGGACCCCCCCCCCCCCCCCCCCCCCCCCCAACAAAAAAAAGAAGAAGAAAAGAAAAATTCTACGATGTGTTAAATAATCTATTGTATCTTGGACTCAATGTGATAGTGATAGTCACAAGCAAGATTTGACACAGGAGTGATATTAGTAATAGGAAGTATTCCCAGGAGTTGTCAAAAGGCTTAAATCGGTTGGTCAGATTGCGTTCCTAGGTCCATATTATATGATCGCTTTCCAGAGGGAGGTAGATTTTCTGCGATGATACGGATGAGTTATGAGACTAAGACGTCCGAATACAACATAAAAGCATCATTCATTTCATCCGAGAAGCTGTGGGGAGGTCAACATTGCATGGTTGTTACGTTAGGTAATGCTGTGCTGACTTGTACTTGAGCTATCATGGTTGATCGGAAACGACTACATTACCTCACTAAACACCTGCTCAGGAAGAGCTTGCCAAAGAAATTTTGCCTGTATAGCGTGGCCGAATTAGACTATTCTAGCTTATCTTGTCTGTTCTCGGATTATCAAGTATACGTCCGCTCGGGTTTACAAGGTCATTATGCTTCACCGCCTCCCCCAAAGCTCAGATTGCATACCTGATTCTTTTCAGATTTTCCTGACAGGTTTTGGGCAGCCTAGTGCTATTCTATCTTGATATATGTAACTGTTGAAGTGTTAATCAGTAGCGCCTTTCATCCTAATCCTCTTTCAATCACTGCGCATCCGTAGGCCCCTTCTCGCCGCTTGGAGGCGGAGCACCAGCTGGCTCCTTGTCCTTAGGAGGCGAATCGCTGATCGGATCCTCTTTCACACTGGGTCCAGCCTCTTGACCGAAGCACCCCTGCTGGTCTGTAAGACCGCCGTAAAAGCTTTCTCGGTATGCGGCGTCCAGGTGAGCCTGGAAGTTGGCGTCGGTGAATGGCACTTGAGTCTTTTCGTATTTGACATCCGACAAAGCTTTCTGCGCAGCCGCGGGAAGAGAGAACCAGCTGACGACTGTGCGCTCAAACACCTTGTCTCCATCAGCACCCGTAAATGGGGAGAAGGCGTTGTCGTGAATCTGCATTTTGGGGTGTGTCGTGACTTTCCCCAGGATCAGAATCGTGCAAGTGTACCAAAACCATGGTCTTGGAGGCGAATTTTTCGGAGCAATGACTGCTAGGTCTCAAACGTTAACCGCAACTTCAACTTTATTATGTGGCCGACCTGAAACTAATATGAAATTGAGGGACAACTGGATAGGGTTGGGAGGTTGCGTGTATCGCGTCTCTTAACCGCCCTTAGCCTCAAGTGAAGTCACTTGAAAACCATCCGTTTCGGTTATGACCGAATCAGGCCGGCGGTGGGATGAATGAACACTATTATGGTGAGTAATTTCTGTATTCTCCGGTCATTCCGTATCAATCTGGGCTACAGCCTGGACAGCCCAAAAGAGCAGCCGACTTCTGAGGAAAGGCGTCAATTATATCCACCAGAACGTGCTTTAAATCGAGACAAAACTTCTTGAAAACGAAATGGCTTGAAAAGATCGTTGTCCAGATTTTCACACTTTCCTTCTCTTGTAAATCTCGTCACTATGCGCTTCTTACTTTCGACTACCATCTTTGGCCTCCTTCTCTTCTTGAGTGGCTTTGTCCACAGCGCTGCAACAGACATTGATGCACTGTCGCTAGCAGAGCGTTCAGGTACCTCTGAAATCGTCCGTCGCGGATGGAAGTTCAAGAGCATCTTTAAAGGCAAGAGCAGCAAAGGTTCTAGCTCAGCCCAGCCAGAACAAGAAGTCGAGTCCGAATCAGACAATGAAGAGCAAACGGCTGCAGCCGATCTAAGCGACGCCGAAGATGGCCGTGTGCCTGATATCACAAAGAGAGGCTACATCTTCCAAGCTCACCGCCGTTCGGACTCTGTGAGGGTCGATGTCGGCGTCATGATTCCTTCGCCCCAGGACTGGAAGCCCGACATGTTCTGGAGCATGGATGACATGGCTGTGTATCCAAGCGAGAACGAAATCAGAGTGTTCAACGCGATCAACGAAGACGACCCCACGCCGGAGCCGCGCAAATGTCGTTTCCGGACCATCATGATGGCCACTTGGAAGGAATACTCGAACAAATACGTCTCGGAGCTCGAATATGTTAGCTTTGCCAGCATCACGAACGAAGACGCACTAGAGTCGATCAAGCAGGCATACTTGTGGATGGATAGAAGCCAGGATGCGGGCGAACCAAATGAACTCCAGATCGACAAGACTGAGGAGGGAACCGATGAGCGGAAGGCATTCAACTGGCTCGTGAACCAGAATCCGCTTGGCCGCGCTGTTCGAGGCATTCCGTCAACCTTCACCGCGATGGACGATAAGGAAATTGACCGCGTGGATCTCTGGACCAGTAACGGAAGTAGATACATCCGCTACCGGCTTCGTTGATTCTTACTGGGCGCGGAGATATGTTATCGATAGACTTGACTCAGCTCAGGGTATGCAATCTCAGCGACTTCTTCCTAAATTATTCGTTGGACGACCTTCTCGATCCGACGGATTTCCAGCTTCGTCAACCTTCGATTTTCATGTAATCACAATTCTAGGACATTCCGCTTGGTGTCTAGTTTTTATGGCTTGTTCTTGGAAGACAAAAATGCAAGGGAAGATTCAACGGTGTATGTAGACTAATGGTATTCGCCGTCATGAACGCTTGATCAGGGTAAATTACCAAATCTGTGATCCTCCGTTGAGCTGATGCGACATAAGCGCAAGCTCTGAAGGGCTTAGCAGACAGCTGAACAGTGGCTGCCTAATCCAAGAGAGTAAAATGACATGATGACAGTCACAGCCACTCCGACAAATCCTTCAGGCCGTTTCTTGTGTCATAAGCTTACGTTCTAGTTCTCCATAAGAGTTCGGCGAGACGCTCACTGGAAAAGATCAGCCCTGCATCCCAACACCCCAATTATCACGAACATCCAAAACATTTGGCATATACTTTTTGTCTCACTCACTCCGAAAGTCAAGACTTTCCATCATCGACAAGCCCGTCTCATGGTCCATTGGCCTGACCAATCAAGTACTTTGGACGTCGCTCTTCATTGTTGGCTGGCCTGAGCTATGCTTATATTGGTTGGCTCGCATTGGACCCCTGTCGCCCCGCAGACGCACCATGAAGGAACATCCGAATTATTATCTCCAGACGCCAGAATTCCTTCTTCTCCGCACACGCGCCTGCCGTCGCCGATGTGTTTGTCGACATTCCACGGCTAGGTTAAGCCTCCCACACCCGCTCCGGGGTCATGAGAACCGCAGGTGGCTTGCCCCGTTATCGCTTCGACGGAGAGGCTGGCCAAGTGGGGTCGTGGCCTTAGGTACGCAGACGGCCTGAAGCAGAAACACGATGGCTCGAAAGGGCAGTCGGAAGACCAGAACTGGCTGCATAACATGCAAGTGAGTGTGCCTGAGAGTGTCCATTTCATCGATCGGTACACAGTGAAAATTGAGAACTTGTCTTAGATGGTACCTCGTATCTAACTCTTCATGATCAAGTAGGATACGTAAAGTGAAGTGTGACGAGACCAAGCCAACCTGCAATCGCTGCGCAGCCACCGGCCGCCAGTGTGATGGCTACAGTCCGGCGCCCTCGCCAACAAACAAATCCCAACTCCGCCGCTACCGACCGCACCATGTCTTTCCGGGAGCAGACGGGGTCGGGGAGGGCAGAGCCTTGCAGTTTTTCTGCGAGGTAGCCGGTCCTTACATGTCGGGTGCCGTGGACCCTCATTTTTGGCCTAAACTGGTAATGCAGTTCACCAGCTTCGAGCCTGCCGCGCGCCATTCTGTCATTGCCATCAGTACCCTCTGTGAACGTCTACAATTCCAAGAGGACATGGATGAAGAGATCCTCTTGAAGGACGATCTTTACGCCTTGCAACATTATAACACAGCTATCCATGACCTCAGGACTATGACCTCCCCTGAGCGAAGTCCTGTCATACTGCTGGTGTGTCTGCTGTTTATCACTATTGAATTCCTACAAGTCAACCGTGAAGAGACGGTAAAGCACTTGAAACACGGATTCCAGCTTCTGAAAAGCACAATCAGGGACTATGCCTGGACTAAGGAACACTTACTGCCTCTGTTTCGACGATTGAGCATCTACGCTTTCCTGCACGCGACCGATCCTATAGACTTTCCCAATCTGGAAGGTCTCGAGCATCCGATTCCCAGCAGCTTTTCAACATTTTATGACGCCCAAAGAATGGTTGACGACATCTTCAGCCGCACCATGCGGTTGTTGCGGCATGGCGACCCTTATAGAATATACCCGGAAGAACACCAAATTGTGCCGCCTGACCTACTCGATGAGCAAGCCAGTCTTGCGTCATCACTAGATCAGTGGAAGATACTATTTGATGCATTTGAAGCCCGGCCCGCATCACCACCGAGCGAGCCTGTTCCCGGGCAAGAGACTCTAACAACGGCGTTACGATACGTCATTGTGTCACGATATGAGTGTTGCAGAATATGGCTGAACACGGCGTTTGGTGACAAAGAATACGACTACGACAGTCACTTGGCTGTATTCAAAGCGATGTCCACAGAAGCAGGGATAGTAGATCCGGAGGTCCTTGCGACTTTTGAAGGGTCTCCTTATTTCACATTCGACACCGGCTACCTTCCTTCAATTTCGCTAATTGCAACGAGATGTGCGCATTTGGAGGCGACATTAAAAAATCTTAGACTGAAGCCACTTCCAGGCCTCCCGAGAGAGAATATGTGTCTGCTAGCCCAGGCCGGAGATTGTCTGTGCGAAGCGTTACCAGCATCTTTACGGAACCTTAGTCGACTGGAGATTGCGGAGTCCAGTAATACTTGACTCTACTTGGAGAGTTCTACACATATATGAAAATGACCGTCTAGTAAAGCATCACGCTGTCCGCAATGTGCCTTTTTCCGGTTACTGCACTGGTGGATGTCCATCCAGGACCCACGAGTTGATTAGTGAGGCAGACTCGGCCGGCAGGTCGAATGGTGCCAAGTGACCAGAGTTGAATATCTCGGCATAGGTGAGCTCTTTGTAAGACTTCCACCTGCCAGCTACCTTAGCGTCATGGTACCAAAGAGTCATCTCTCGGAAGCGGAAGAAGGGGTGTCCATGCCATGCCAGTCCCTCGTTGACGAGCCGCCGCATTCCAGCTGCATTGCAGTATAAATCTTTGTCGCCCACGTATATGAGAACGCGAATCCCCTGTAAGAGTTTTCAGTAAGTTTCGATACAGGCCTTGTTCTGTCCTTGGGCTATTTACCTCATCGAGAAGCCTGTTGATGTACTCATCGCTGGACTTCCACAAGTCACCCACGCTCTCCCACTGCTTGAGTATTTCGTACGAGATTCCCTCAAACGAAGCATCTTCGTTAACTCCGAGGGCAACCTTTACCTTTGTCTGGTTTAAAAAGGCGTCAATGTGGCCTAGCTCGGCGTAGCATTCTTCCGAAGGACCATCACCACAACTTCGTCTCCAGTCATATGGGTTGCGCCTCAATTTGTCGACAACGTAGCCGCTCATGGAGGAACATTTCTCGTGTGTTTCGATACAAGCTCGGGATGTCCATCCTTCATCATCGCCTGTGCCTTCGCAGACCCCTAGATTCTGCTCGCACCAAAGGTTGAGTGGGGCCCATTCGATGCACTGTGAGGTGCTTAGCAGACTATCAGGTCCGGAACAAAGCGCTTCGAAATTCCCTGGATTCTGAATACGAAGTCGAATTAATCCGTTGCCAATGAGAATGCCCTTCAAGTTGATGAGCGGGACTCGCGAAGGTAGGTGGACCGGTGAATGATCTCCTGCCCAATGATGTTCGTTGTTTTGAACCGAGAACTCTGAAGCAGCAGAATGGAGGTCAACATTGCGGGAGTTTGTGTCGTGGGAATTTGCCTGATTGTCAAGTATTGTGGAAGCCAAAGCCGGCACCCACGATCCACCATAGGACTCTCCAGCGATATAGAAATCAAGGCTTGAGTATTGAGGGAAGGCGATCATGAGTTGACGAAGGAATCGATCCATCGTTTGAGATGCTTCTTGCAGACCATTGGGTATCTTGGATCCCGTCGAATAGCCGACACTTACTGGCTGGCTAAGTTTAACCATGCAGATATCAGTCAAGAATCTTTCAGTGTAAAAAACATGATTCCCAAGATCAAGATGGCATCCAAACGACAATACTCAACTCACTCGACAAAGATCAAGGTTGCATTCGTGTTCCAACCGTGCGGGTTATCGATGGTGTACCCGCCCTCACGCGCTATGCGACAGGGTCCCAACTCCATCAGGTTGCCATAGCCAGTAGAAGACGCTCCTGGGCCACTGGAAATATTCGAAAACAAAGTTAGCAGGGAGATTGGTTTTGGCTCGAGACGGCTAGAAACACTGACCCAGACATCCATAATATTACGGGGTCATTAAAAGGACGATGCTTGCTTTCAAAAAGCCAGAAGAACAGATGACTCTCATCATCGCCATCAGTTGTATCGACAAAGCCGGCGACGCCGGGAGTTGAGCTGTTGCATACACTAGCCGTGTCGGACCCGAGCCTGAGGGAGAATCCTGGGATGTCGGCCGTGGCGGGGAAATGTTTTACGGGAGAGCCGGGCGATTGAGAGTGGGTTGGTGAAGCAAGGCTTTGGCTGACGAATGCCAGTAGCAATGATAGATGTTGGAGGCATGATACTGAGAATCTCAATCGGTGAGGCATTTTGACAGTATCGATGTTTGAGGCACTCAGATGCCATGAAGAAGTTGGATGAATCGCTCGATACCTTTCGACTGGTTTTCTGATGCAGCGCTTTTGATGACCCGAATAGGCATAGTGCGTGATTCCCGATCGAGTTGTCGGATCCTAGCGATAAACACCTACTATCAGTGGACCCATGGCAGAGATGCTTCTAAAGCGCTTCTAAAGGTTAGACCTCTCCAATGCTCTAGTTGATACACTGAATTGTGCGCAAAGATGTAGAGGAACTAATCGAGAAGTCACGTATGTAAACCTCGAGGCCTTCCATTTGAGCAATGGGATCCGCCGGTCAATCACTTTCATCAGCTTCAAGGGTCACCACAACATTCAATGTCAAGGAAGGAGAAGAGAAAACCCGTGTTAGGTCCTACATAGATGTTTCGTAAAGGTCGTGTCCATCATCATTCATAAATTTCAAGCAGTGGCACCTGCAGCCTCGCCATCAACGATCAAGCTTGAGGCCTCCTCGTCATCGCTTGGCTTGACGAGCTTGATGGAAACCTCGGGGTCTCGAGCATAGACACGCAGGCCCAAGACACAGACAGCGTTCCATGGAGATCCAGTCAGCTCCTCTTCGTCATCCAAGACAGTGGATTCAGCATCAGAGTCTGAATCAGAAACCTCTTCCTCCTCAGCAGGCGCTTCCTCAACAGGCGTCTCATCAGCGACGTCTTCGGCTTTAGATTCAGCGATGGGAGTCTCCTCGGCTGGCTTTGACTCCTCAGACTTCTTCTCGCTCTCATCGCTTTCGGGTTTCTTCTCTTCAGTTTTGTTCTCCTTAGGCTCCTTCTCGTCATCCTTCTTTGGCTCCGGGGTCGGGCCATCGCCAGGCTTTGACGTATTTACGTTCGCCGGCTTCTCTGCCTCAGTGGGCTGAGCTGACTCCTTAACCGCGATTTTGATTGCAATCGAATCGCCCTCCTTCTTTTGATCCTTGTCTTCGGACTTCTTCCCTTCCTTCCCGACAGCGTCCTTGGTATCCTTCTTTTCCTCAGTCTTCTTGCCCTCATTCGCGAGGTCAGACACAACCTTGGCGGAATCCTCAAGCGCCTTCGCCGCTATACCGAGCGCCTTTTTCTGCTTTCTTCTTTTCTTTGCTTTCTTGCTCTCCTTCTTCTGCTTCGCTTCAAGCTTCTTCTTCTCTACGAGCTCGTCCTCGTTCCGAACACCACCCTTGGCGTGAGCGATATCGTACTGCAAGCCTACCTGTCGCAATTTCTGCGGGTTGCGTTCGGCATACTCCTTGACTACTTCCTCAACAGGCTTGATTGTGCTAACGTCGCCTTCGCTGTTGCGAACGGCTGTAATCTTAGGCAGAACCTCGTAGATGCCTGGCTCTAGGTCGACCTCGCAGCTCACCGAGCGATTCTCCCATTTGTGCACAGGTCGGACGCGGCAAATCTGCTCTGGCTCAGGGGCATCCGCCTTTTTCTTCTCTCCATCTTTGGACTCATCGCTGGCCACAGAGGTTGTAGAAGCAGCTTGCTGAAGGACGAAGTGTAGTTCGAACCAGTACTGTCCCTCAAATCCGTGGAAGTAGCGGTCGTCGAGCTGCGTCAGGACAATTACGACCATGCCCGACTTCTTGACCTCCGCAACGAACTTGGTCTGGAGGAAACCTGTCACCCAAGATACATTGGCGGAGGTCCACTGTTGCACGACGGTCCACTTGTCGTCGAACAGGCGCGTGCGGTGGATGTACATAAAGGTCGAGAGCATATCCTGGTACGACATCCAGAAGACGCCATCATCGCCAAAGGTGTGATTCATGCGCTTAAGCCAGTACGGGGTCCATTCTTTGGAGCCGTCGGACCACGGCCCATTCCATTCGCCGACACCACCATCGGATCGTTCGCCCCAAGGGTTCCTGTTGGTTCAAGTGTCAGAGCAAGGCAAGATACTGAGACTCTAGGAGCAAATCTTACCGGATCTGAACGAGGCGAACCTTCTTACCGTCCTCGTCAACCTCCTCTCGTGACTGAAGGATAGAGTATGCGTGCCCCAACGCCAGGCCGCTCTTCTACCAGTCCCACCCAGTACCCATGGCAGCAAGGGCGAAGACAAACTCTCCGTCAGAATTTACAAGCTCTTTCCACAACTTGTCCTTTCTCAACACGCGGTTAGTTGCGATTGTTGAGGTTACGCCACCTGTCATGTCCTCAACTCCCTCGCCGGGCCAGCCACCCGAGATGGCTTCATAGTCACCATGAACCTTGGCGTATGCCTTCTCGAGAAGCGGCAACCACGTCTCATTCTGATCATCGCAGCGAGCAAAGTAGAGAGCATCAGAGCCCGTCTGGTGCCTCTTCCTATGTAGGCGGGCCTTCTTGCCACTAGCATCGTAGACGTCTCCATAGTAGTCAAAGTCTGACTCGTTGAGGTAGAGATTGTCGTCAATGACTGTCGAAATCCACTCGCCATCGCGCTGAAAGACAAAACCGTAGACGCCACACTCTTCGTCGCGAGCAACGCAGACTTTCTCCATGAGGTCTTTCCGGTGCGCAATGGTGGCAACCGCGGCGAGCCACCAGCAGTCACCGTTGGAACCTTGCTTGATATCGGAAGACGAGTAGCCGTTCATCGTGAATTGCGGCGAATCAAAGATCCAGTCAACGCGGTGGATTGAACCAGGGTTGTAGTACTCGCTTCCTCGGACGCCATGACGCTTCGAGACTTTGCCAGATCCCGACTTGGCTCCCTTACCGGCAGCTGCATTGGCAAAGGGATTCCAGATGTCACTGTCGCCCCCAAGAAAACGGCTCACCGCCGTGGGATCGATGGGGATAGTAGAGCTAGGACCCAAGATCTGCGCGGCGTTAAGTGTGTCGAGGCTGTTCTTCACATCCCAGCTGCTCACATACGGCACATCTCCCGCGGCGCCACTTCCGCCAGTACCCTGGTCCCCGTCACGGATAAGACCGTTAAGACAGTTCTTCTTAGGATCACGCTCAATGTCGAAGTCGGGGTCGGTGAACTTCTCATTCGTTCTTTCGCACTCTCGGATGATTCGCTTGACCTTCTCTCGGCACTCGCGAGCGGCCGCGTCATATGACTCCTGCGCATTGCGGGTGGAAGATGCCCCCTTCTCCTGGAAAGCAGGGAGGAGGGATGTGTAGAGGGCGCGAGGGAAGATGGATGTCACCTTCCCCGGGTATTTTGAGTGAAACTTGTCCCAGAAGTCAGACAAGGTTTCCTGGGGACTCTTCTTCGAGCGCTTCGTTGCTGGAGGAATGGGAGGCACTGGTGGTGGTGGATCGCCGTACGTCGCCATATTGAGCAGCGTCGCTGACTTGGGTGTCAGAGCAGGTTAAATGACTAAATTGGTGTCTTACTTGTGTCGGCTCCCCTCGAGACAGGAAGCGAATGACTGGCTTGAACAATAGAATGGAGTTCATTTCGGCCATGCTGCTGGACTTAAGTAGTCGTCGCAGTCTGACGAAGATATCATTCACGCCTTGAAGGGTGGTGTGACAAGGCCTTGGTAAGGCTACGACCTACCTACTTGACCCGGCATCTAGTGCTGACGCACCAGCGATAGTTCCCGTGTACAACCGCGCATATGGGTGTTTGGGTGTGAGGCTGCCTAGAATCACGTTACTTGGATGTGACAATATTGAAATGCGAAACGAAACTGAACCAATTGTATGGGATCGTTGGTATGAAGGCGCCCTGGGTATCGGAACGGTCGGCTTGCTTGGCCGCATTCTGCAGAATATCGAACCGAACTTGCTCTGATATGCAGCGAATCGCCAGGGTTGAATCTGGCAATTCGTACGGATACTCCAAGTACCAACAGCACGCAGATTGGGGGCCATTCTGCCGCCGGGCTTCAGGGCCTAGTATCAGGTCGCATCATGGCGCCAATGACTTTAGCGCCGCGAGGTTAGGCTATGACAGCGAAGCATACGGCTGATCCCCAGGGTCGCTTTCTCAGTCACGCACGCCAGATAACAAGAGGAAAGGCTTGCTGTCTCATTCTAGCGAGGTAACTGTGAAAACCATAACCCCGCGCGATGAACTGGCGACTCTCACGTAAGACTTGGAACGCCATGCATGCATGAAATGCAGGCCCCTGTTAGTGCGTGTCGCTTCCCCAAGCCTTTACGACCAACTCATTTTGGACTGGAGTAAACCAAACAGGGGTTCTGTGCAGACGGGAAGATGAAGCTGAAATTTGGGCTGCAGTCACAGGAATGATAGGTTCACTGCTGATCATTCTCATAGAGTATCATACTTGGCCAGACCTAAAGGAGTATTCAAGGTGATCGATATGTCACGTTGAATGATGAATCACATATATGCGCACATCACAGGATAGGAAACTGAGTACATTAGACAGAAGCATCATTGAGTCCCAAATCAACTTAGACCTGAGACCGATGATTGGTGCATCGGCTGCTATATTACACGACAGGGAATCCGTTCTTCATCCATGGCGACGCCGATGAAGAGCAACTCTGATGCTTGTTCTTCAAGAATGTCCTTCTCCAAATCATTTATAAATCAGTGGTGATTGACCGCCCCTCTATCCTTTTGCAATTTCAGTGTCTTCGTCTAATTTGATGCATATCCAGGCTACTAATGGCGTGGAATAGATCTACACAGCCATGGTGACCAGTATCGCGAATGACGCTCGAAGGGCCTGCCTTTGCCATCGGTCGTGAAGCTCATTGTATATCATACCTCAAAACTCGTACAGGCTTTAATCCTCGTCCGGCACAGATTATATTGAATATTGGGCTCCGAAAGGCTAGGCAGGCATTCGACAATTGTCTCTCATTAAGAGTTAAATATATTGGCATCCGTAAAGTTCATTTGGAAGCTTTGGTGTGTACTCATGTTCTTGCTACGAGGTCTATGGCCGACTCATTTCCTTCGTCATGCCGCTCAATTAGGTGGATATGGTCAGGCTCAATGCTGAGTTAGCAAGAGCTACTTGCGGTACAAAGCAAGCACCTTCTGCCACAGGGTTGTGGCCTCCTGTTGAGCAATCGCTGTCTCTCCAGCTCCTCTATGATCCGGCACGTCGACAACCTCGCCATCCAGACCCTTGTTGTTGGCGGCGTTCTGCTGCTTGCCCAGATAGTAGTTTGGCATAAAGAAAGAAGCAATAAGAGAAATACAGGACAAGCAGGTGGCGGCGATCGTGATATGCCCGTTTACGATAGCGTAGGCGCGGATAGATCCTTGACGAATGGGATCATCGAACTGGTACTTCTTCAACGTCTTGATATTGCCGTAAATCTTCGCGATAACACTGTTGGAAACGCCGGGAAGTTCTTCACGCATCTGGTCAACCATCTGCTCCGTCCAGATGCTCGTTGCAACAGCGCTTCCGATACTGGAACCTAAGGTAGACCACAGAGTGATGATGGAAATGATCGAAGCAACGTCGTCGTGGGGAACAGACGCCTGTACACCAACACGCGCACCAACTACGTTGAGGGAAGATAGACAGAAGATGAGCTGCGCTGCTACGAGCCGAGCAGTATCTTGAGTCATGTTGCCGGTCGGTTGGACCAAGAGGCCGTAACCGAGAATCTTGGCCGCGGCACCGAAGACCATAAGGCTCTTGTAGCGATGAGTGCTGCGGTGAATGAGACCAACCACAGGGCCGACCAGGCAGAGCCCCATTGTAGTTATGCCCAAGAAGATAGTCCACTGGTAAGTAGTCCACTCTTTGATGATGAGGATGTATGATGAGAAGTAGGTATTGCGAACGGACGATGCCATTTGGTTGAAGGTGTGGATGATGACACCTGCGATGAAGGCGCGGTTCTGTAAAATGCTCCTCGTCATGAGAGGCTTAGGAGCGAGAAATATCTCGAACAGGACGAAGATTATGAGAATGACGAAACCCATGACGATCATAGCGATCATGCTTGCGTTGGTCCATCCACCATCGGCGCTCTTAGCCAGTGTGATAGGCAAGAGAATCAGGGAGAAGGCAAAGCCAAGCAGGATGAGGCCAATGATGTCGATATCGATCATGCCCCGGTACGCAAGTTTGGCCCAGTACACCAAGTTCTTAGAGGAGGCCTCAGAGACACCGGTGCGAACGTTCTTGGAGTCGGCAATGGTTACCATGCCAGCCTTCTCTCCTCGACGCTGCATGGCGTAGAGAGTAAAGATGGCCGGGATGAGGAGAACAGGGACGAGTATGGCGAACATGCCTAAGCCCCATCGCCAATTCTCGTAGAAGCCTTCAGCAATGAAACCGTTGACGGGGACAGTGACGATAAAAGGCAGGGACAGGCAAGCACCGAAGAAGCCGCGCCATTCCAGGGGTGTTAAATCGGCCACAATGATGTCGCTCAGAAGATCGAGACCTGACTTGCCGACTGAAGTAAAGCAGATACCGACGGTATAGGCGGGGAAGGCGGTTGCGCTGGCTGCAACGGCAAAGCCTACGGCGTAAAACGCTAGAATCACGACGTACGTCGTAGGTCGCGAGGTGATGTCGGCTAGTTTTCCAATGAAAGGCTTGCTGATGGCGCGGATAATCTGACTGGCAGTGTTGACGGTACCAAGTTGGCTGTGGACCTTGAACGTTGAAGCAGCCAGCGTGCCAAAGATGGTTGTGGTGATACCCATATCGAGGGCATAGGCAAACATGGTCAGGCCGATGGATACGCCGAGCAGCCAGAGTAGCACCTTGCCCTTCTGACCAGAATGGTAGAGTACCTTGTTGAAGGCTTCAACTCTGCTGACGCCGACTTCCTTTGATCCTTCATTATCAGCAGATTGGTCAGGCTTCTCATCCGGCTCGAAGAAGTCCTGAGGTGCATCGTTCTGGGCGGGAGCCTTTTCGGGAGCCACTGGCTGGCTGTCGGCCGCAGGTGTCGACATGTTTGACGACTTCTCAAGCTGCCTGGGTTTTCGAGAGGTTTCAAGATGAAGTCGATGTTGCACAGACACAGACAGAGAGCGATATGAAGAAGGGTAGAAGAAGTTTATTAAAGCCTCATGGAGAGATAGACAGCGAAAACTCTACGGTCTTGGCAGCGGTCCAGTGCCACCTCATAATCCTTCCACTGGGATCTAGCGAAGTGCTAGGGAATGATCACCCCACATTACAAACATAGGCAACCAGAAGTGACCAACGATATGGTTCTGCTGCATGACATAAAGATCAGTCTCCGAGTCTCTTTCGGTACGTTCCGACATCGGTTCGCCCAGTGTCCCGGACATGCGGGTGAGACAGCTAAGTTCAATGTTGAATGGCACGCGGCACGGGGTCAGAAAAATTGGCCGCTCTACTGAACATCGACCCTAAGAAAAGTGGCCAATTCTTCTGGCAACCGCGTGAATGGATGGCTCGTTGTGTTTATCAGATCCTTTTCTGGATCCACTATTGAGGAAACATGCCATCTAATCAGATGGCCCATATCTCTCGATTGGGGAGGGATCACCACCTTGGCGGGACTAGACTCCGACTAAAGCCAGGATAGATTCCTTCATGCGCAAAGTATACAGTGTCTTCAGACTGTACGCAGAGACGCGCCACTGAGGACCTTCTTTTAAATAGCTTTGTCATTTGGCTCCGATCCTAGACCAATATTTCGAGAATGAGGAATCATCTCCGGGTTATGGAAGCGGGACGGGTCGTCAAAGTGACAGAGCAAAGATTTTCTTCGACACATCAGCCCACGGATCATGTAGCCACCTAGATAGTGCTTACTTTTTAGCCTGAAATAAGCTTACTCGAGTGGCTATTGCTACTCGTTCGAGTCGAAAGATGGGTACAGGATCCCTGTTCCTGGCAATAATCCCGCAGATTCGGCCTCGGACTTTGCCCGGAAGGGCTTGGCTCTTGGTTCATCGCCAACTTGTCGGTTTATATGGTCACTTTCATCGGACGACCTATTGCGAGAACTGTTCATCATGCTATTCTCTTGATCAAGTCTTTCGAAAATGCATTACAGTGAAGAAAATTGCTCAACGAGGGCTCTATAGACAAATCGGCCTCGAAGTCTTGGATCCATTACCGCTATCACTACAATGCCATGTTTTCTCAAAGTTCGGTCTTCAAATAATGAATTCAGACCTCCTATGCAATTGGCAACTGAGGCCACTGCATCAAAGCTGCGAATCATATTTCAGCAAATTGAGTGAGTCCTGGGAGGAGGAGGAAGAAAATGTATAAAATAGAGAACACTCATGTCTAGTTATGTTGGAAGCAAATATCTTCATAGACTTCTAACCGCCCGTAGCCTATTTTTTCTCGCCAACTGCGTGAGCTCTATCGTAGGGGCGTAGAGATCGAAGATG